CACCTACTATGAAGTGAGAAGCTCTTCTCTACCACATTAACCTGACCATTATATTCTGCTTTGCCACAGGACTTTGCCACAGGAGCAATGCAATCAGCTGACTATGGACTGAGACGTCTGAAAACATGAACCAAAATTAATCTTTTTTTCCTTTAGTTTGATTTCTATTCAGGTATTTGGCATAGCACTGAAAACTGCCTAACACAGAAATTTGGTAACAAGAGAGGGCTCATGGAGCTGGAGTTGTAGCTCATTGGTTGAGTCCTAACCTAGAATATGTGAGGCACTGGGTTTGATTCTCAGCACTGCATATAAATAAATAAAATAAAAGTTCATCAACAACACAAAAATAAAATAAAATTTAAAAAAGAGTGGGGTCATTGTCTTTGGTACTTGTTTGCCAAAGAAATTTGAAAAGATTTGAAGATGCATGCCTAAAGAAGTCCTAGAATGCTGTCAGTAGAGCCTGATTTGCAATTATGATGAGGATTCAAAGAGCCACGATGCTGATAGGAATACAAAGAGTTAAGATTGTTCTCATTAAGTTTCAGACAGAAATGAGGACCATGTTGAGAACTGGACTATAGGATATTCATGTTATATTATGGCAAAGAACCTGTCTAAATTTTGTCCATGCCCAGAGGCATCATGTGAGGCTTTGTTTTAAGATGATGGACTAAATCTTGCAGAGGAAATTTCAAGACAGCAGAACATTCAGGCTGGGACATGGGAAGCATACCATTCAGGATGTTGTTATCCAGATTTACAGTGAGAATTATGATGAATAAGTAAACCAGGAAACTTGAAAAATTTGCAGTTTTGTCAGAAAAGAGGCACATATAAAGTTAGTTCTAGGAAGATGTGGTTGCTGAAGAGATTAGCACCATTAAAATGAAACCAAGTACTTTGCATCAGTACAATAGGAAAGATGTCTTGGGGCATCTCAGGAATTGGCTGGACCTCACCCATTGCAGCTCAAGGTTGCAAAAGTGAAAATTTATTTCAGATTTTTCTTTGAGGAGAGAGTTACGGGATGTTTGGCTCCCCCGGGATCACTTAGAATGCAGTTACCCCAAAATTTGCTTCATTGTGCTCAGTCATCCAGGTACTCAGAGGCAAACAAGTAACAAGTACTACTTGGAAGTATGTAACTTGATTTTTTGTTTTTCTTTTTCTTGTTTGAAAGGGCTCACATGTAAGAGGTTTTTTGAATCTTAGAGGAGAATTTGGACCTGGACTTTTAAACAATACTAAAATTATTAAGATTGTAAGACTCTTGGATATGGACTAAATGGAATTTGCATTATGAGGAGGATGAACTTTTGGGGGCCAAGGGTGGAATGTTATGGTTTAGATCTTGTGTTAGTCAGTTTTTTTTTTCTCACTGTGATCAAAATACCTGTAAAGTACAACTCAGAGGATGTTTCTTGGTTTATATGTGAGTTATTCCCCAAAAGCTCATGTGTGAGACAATGCAAGAGGGATCAGAGGGGAAACTATTAGGTTGTGAGAGCCTTAAATCAGTGAGTTGATCCCTGATAGGATTAATTGGCTGGTGGCTAAAGGCAAGTGGTGTATGGCTGGAGGAAGTGAGTCACTGTAGGTGTGTGGCTTTGGGTATATATTTATATCTGGCAAGTGGAGTTTCTTTCTTTGCTTGCTGATCATCATGTGAGCTGCTTCCCTCTGTCATTATGTTCAGCCTCACCTGGAGTCCCTGGTAAATGGATCAGTCTGTATATGGAGGGAGACCTCTGAAACTGTGAGCCCTTAAATAAACTTTTCCTCCTCTATAATTGTTCTGGTTGGGTCTTTTAGTCACAGCAGTGAAAAAGCTGATTAAAAAAGGTGGAAAGATTTATTTTGTTTCATCGTTTCAGAGATTTCAGTCTATGGTCAGTCGGTTATAATGCTCTAGTCTTGAGGTAAGGCAGAACATCATGATGGAAGGATATAGCAGAGGAAAGCTGCTCAGCTCATGGCAGCTGAAAATGAGAGAGAAAAAGATAGGGAGAAATAGAGAAAGAGGGGGAAGGGTCCAAGGAAAAGATATAGTCTTTAAGGGCATATCCCCAGTGACCTTTTCCCTCCAACCATGTCCCACCTTCTTATAATTTCTACCACTTCCAGTAGAATATTCAGCTATCAATGGATATTAATGTACTGATAAGGTCACTCTGTAAAATCCCCAACTCTAAACATTGTTTCACATAAGTATTTGAGGGTTGCTTCACATCCACAGATATGAAATATCCTCAAAAGTCCATGTGCTAAATTACTGCTTGCCAGCCTATGACAATATTCGGAGGTAGTGGAACCTTTAGGATGTGGGAACTATTTGGAAGAAGTAGGTTACTGGGACATGACTTTAAAGGGTTTATTTTGTCCCTTCCTCCCTCTCTCTCTGCTTCCTAACCACCATGAGATAAGTGTCTATGCTTCATCAAGATCCCCGCCATAATGTTCTGCCTTGCTACAGGCCTAAAAGCAATGTAACCAGCCAACAATGGGCTGAAATCTTTTACAGTGACCCCAAATTTTCCTTCCTTTAAATTAATTTCTGTCAGGCATTTTGTCACAGTAATGGAAAGCTAACAAACTCATGTACATAGAGAACCCCAAAATTGCCACCATAAAAACCTATTAGAGATGATAAATGAATTCAGCAAAGTTGCAGAATACCGAATCAGCATATGAAAAACAGTACCATTGAGTACACCAATAGCAAATTATCTTTAAAAGAAATTAGTAAATCAGTCCTATATCTAATAACCATACACATATGAAAACAAAATACTTAGGGATAAATTTACCAAATATGTAAATATGTAATATAGACATATGAAATATGTCTATACTGAAAATGATAAAACATTAATGAAATAAATTAAAGAGGCCAGGTAAGGTGGCATACTCCTGTGATCTCAGCTACCCAGAAGGTTGAGGCAGGAGGAACACAAGCTTGAGATCAGGCAATTTAGCAAAACCCTGTCTCCAATTAAAAACTATAATTGACTGGGGATGTAGCTCAGTGGTAAAGTACCCCTGGGTTTAGTCCTCATACAAGGAAGATAGATAGATAGACAGATAGATAAATAGGACACTGCCGCAGTCTGGCTGGGCACAAATGCCGCAGTCTGGCTGGGCACACAATCACGAGCCACCACACAGCTTGTAGATTCAAACAGCAACTCTTTATTCCCGAACTCACACCAGCCGTCTACAATCACGTTCTGGGGAAATCCACGTTCTCTGCCCAAATCCACATCCACTGGGCTTCTGTCTCCCAAAAAATACTGTCTGAATCCCGTGAGAACTCAAGGGGAACTCAGGCAGCAGGATACGCCCTATTCCCAGCAGGAATAATCTTAAACCTTAAACCTGGAACCTAAACCCGGAACGCCCTAAACCCGATTATCCTAAACTGGGAACACCCTAAACCCGGATCCGCCCTGGTCCTTGAGCAAGGTCACCTACATGCAATGTCACTGCAAAATGTCCTATTTCCAGGAGTCCTTCCACTAAGCAACATGGGGTACGCTGGCAAGGAAATTGTCATACCTACTTGGCTAATGGCTCCCAGCAGGACACAAAACAATAGAAAGATATCCCATTATAGATTGAATAGATGAAACAATATCATTAACATATCTGCATTACCCAAAACAATCTACAGATTCAATGTAATTCCTATCAAAATACTAAGGAATTTTTTCTCAGAACTAGAAAAAAAATCCTAAAATTCATATGGAACCACAAAGAATTCTCAATAGCCAACACAATATTGAGCAAAAGAACAAAGCAGAAGGTATTACACTCCCTGGCTTCAAAATATACTACAGAGCAACAGTAATAAAAAGAACATAGCTTTGGCATTAAAATGATTAATTGAAATAAGCCAGGCACAGAAACATCAGTATTACATAATCTCACTCATATATGGAATATAAAAGAATGTAGGTCTCAAAGAAACTGAGAGTGGAATGGTGGGTTTTGGAGGACTGGGAGAGTAGAGGGAGAGAGAGAGAAAGTTTAAAAGGAACCCAATTATAGTCAGATGGAAGCAAGTCTGGTGTTCTATCGAGTATCAGGATGACTATAGATAATATAAAATGTATTGTATATTTATTTATTTATTTAGTACCAGGGATTGAACTCAGGGACACTTGACCACTGAGCCATATCCCCAGCCCTATTTTGTATTTTATCTAGAAACAGGGTCTCACTGAGTTGCTTAGTGCCTTGCTTTTTCTAAAGCTTTCTTTGAACTCAGGATCCTCCTGCCTCAGCCTCCCAAGCCACTGGGATTTCAGGCATGCACCACCACTCCTGGCAAAAATGTATATTTTGTAAATGCCAAAATAAAGTTGGGTGAAGTGGTGCACACCTATAATCCCAGCTACTCATGAGGCTGAGGCAGCAGGATCTCAAGTTCAAGGTCAGCCTGGGCAAGTTAATGAGACCCTGTCTTAAAATAAAATAAAGTGCTGGGGATATAGCTCAGTGGTAGAGTACTTGCCTAGCATGTTCAAGGACCTGTTCAACTTATTCCTGGAAGACCCCAGCCCAATAACTTTAGGCCCAGTAATAAATCACCAGGGCTTGCTTCCGCACCTGCACAGACGTCAGATGTATTTTTCAGAAAATCAGTTAAGTGTAAACAATTAAGAAAGGACAGGATGGTTGGGAAAGGAGCCGGCACGGTTGGGCAAACGGGATCATACAATGAAAAACCATACAATGAATAACAAATGGTTTTTATGTGGTTTTTCCAGGAACCTATAGTGAAAAACAAGTTTACCCTTTAAGTGACCTATATGCTGGATTCAAAAGAGCCAATGAGATACCTGTTACTGTGCTAGGAGGAAAACTGACCACTGTACCCTATGAAAGATCTGTACCCCAAAGCCCGGTGTGCCAGTTCACCGAAGCTCCGGCTGAGGTTTCGCTGAGCACCCGCAGGCGCCTGTGTATCAATAAATCGCCTCTTGTTTTTGCAGCCAGTGCCTCGTGCGTCTTTCTTGGACAGGGAATCGGCGGGTCTTTCATTTGGCGAGCCAGCCAGGAGAACTCCTGTAACCCCATCCGGATCCCTGCCCGAGGAACACCCAATAACCACTGGGAGGTAAGCTGGCCAGTTCGTGTCATTTTGTGTCTCTCTCTGTCTGGTTGTTATCTTGTTATCTGTTCATGCGCAGCGTCTGTACGATTACGCGTAATTGCTCTGTATTCTGGGCAGCTTGAGAAGGAGTTGACGAACTCGGACTTCTCCCCTGCCACCCTGGGAGACGTCCCAGGGGCTCAGGGAGGCCCATCTTGGGGGGCCTCCAATGTTCTGTAGAGTACACTGTACTCGTGGGTGACGGAGGTGACGGTATCCCTCCTCTCCCTAATCCGTCAGGTACGTTCGGTTTGTGCTCGAGCCGCGCAGCGTTCTCTGTGTCCAGTCTGATATTTGTGTCTGTCTTCTTGCCTTTGCACTTTCTCACTCCATCAAAGACTAACATGGGGCAATCCATAACAACTCCTTTGAGTCTCACCCTTGACCATTGGCAGGACGTCCGAAATCGGGCAGACAACCAGTCAGTAAAAGTTAAGAAGAAAAAAAAAAAAAGCGGCTCAGGGGCACCCGGCCCTCTCCCTCCCTCGTGGGGGTAGAAGGGAACGGGTCCCCAAACCTCCCGAGTGTTATCACAGGGCCAAGGAAGCGAACGGGTCTTCCTGGAGTCGGGCTGCTTGGAAATGCAGCCCAAGGCAGATGATAAATTCCATCTAAGGCTGAATACTGAGACTAGAGAAGCAATGTTTTCTTTTCCCCCCCCATAACCGGCTTGAGTGCAAATAGAGATGCCTGCTGGGGATTTAATAACTTTGACATCTCGCTTTGACTTTTCTCAAAGCCCTGTCCTCATTATTAAATTGGTGTTAATTGGTTTTAGAGATGGGAACCAAATTTTCAGTCACAAATTTTGACACTCTCAAGGGGACTTTTAAGGAGTCCCCACTCTGCTTTCTTGGGGAAGCCTAGCACTCAAAACAACTGCAAGCAGAGGATGGACTTTTTGGGAGCTGGCTACTAAAAAGTTAAAAAAAAAAAATGCCTAATGCCTAAGGTCAAACCAAACTGGAGGAACTGATCCTATGGGTGAAAGATAGGATTAAGGGACTCCCAGCAGCTGCCAGAGCCATTTAGCTCTGGGGAGTTCCCTGGGTCCTTATCTACATCTCAGGGATTACGCCACCTCTGTTTACTTAAAAAGAAGGGACACTGAATGCAGTAAAGCCAGTCACACTGAGACCCTTGATTTTACACCTATAGTTGCCCCTACGTGAAAACATCTGGTCCACTCATGGGAAAGTCTATGGTGCCACTGATGGGAGTCATAATTAAATGAAAGTTTAAAACCTGGAGAGATATTTTCTTATCTGGTTGTCTGATTGTTTCTTAGGGATAATCTAGGTTAAATGTGTGTCTAAAAAAAAAATAATTTTTTATTGTAACAATCTGGTATCTAAATGGGTTTCTAAAGCATTGCACTATCTTGCAGTTAAAAGTTGGGTGTAAGCAATTGTTTAGTTTGATTTCAGATAGTTCATGCTAGAAAACTTAAATACTTGGGATAAAAAAATTAAAGAGTTTCAATTTTGAACTGGGTAGCCTGAAAAGAAATTAAAACGTTGGTCTGGCTCATAAAAATGACATTAGATAATTAAATAGCAATAGTCTTAGAAATTTTCAAAGCTTAATTTCAGATATATATGGTAGTGTGTGAGCAAATTTAATGTAACTCAATGCTACTTTAGGAACTTTAGAACAAGCAAAGTGGCTTAGAGGTACTAAAGAAATTTCTTCTGATGGTAGAGGTCCTATTTCCAGTTTTATGTGAACAAGTTTTTCTAATGTACAAAGATATGAAATTTTAAATTTTGGGAATTACTTCTTAAATTTGTATCATAATTTTCAACATCTAAACCTGGAAATATAACTTGAAGTAAATTGTATGGTATTTACTAACTACTGGCCAGTCATCTTTTTTTTTTAGGACTCTTGTTTTTTCTTAGATTTTGTATTTTTTTGAGCTCGTGATTCTGATCCTGCAGACCTAGGTTAATGTTTTTCTGATCAGTGAAGTTTAAAAAAAAAAAAAAAAAAAAACACAAAAACATTGCAATGGAGATTTCATCTGCGAAAAGCTACGAGGCCTTTATTATTGTTATGTGTGCACACTCTTGTTATGTGTTGTATGTCGGTATGTCTGTATGTGTGTATGTCCATATATCCTGCAGTGATATAACAATTGACAGATGAGGAGCGCTCATAAAAAATAAAAAAAATTAAAAATAGATCCAAATATCTTTAATTCACGTGATTCAAACGGTTCAATTTAGATTGGGTAAACAGATAAAAGTAAAGATGTCCTCAAAATTAAGCTTATAAGTTTCTCTAGGTGTTCAAAAAGGCCCTAATAAAATGTTAACTCTGCTTAAATTTAAAAGTTTACAAGTATTGTTTCAAAATGTGAACAAAAGGAGGTTTATGTAATTATGGTGTTATTAATGTGTTCATATCTTCCAGGTATACAAGTCTGTAAGGTAGAAGCTTCAAAAGAACATTATATCAAGCTGGTGTTCTAAAGTTGTATGGTAATTTTAGGCTTAAAAAAAAAATATGTTAGAGATTCAATTATATCATTTGTGTTCTATAACTGAACTTGTTATCAATAAGATATGTACTGTTCCATGTTACTTTCTACTCTAAGATACAATTTATGTATTTTTAAGTTAATAAGAACCTAATCTGTGTGAAGGTTTTATTGCAAAACACAAAAGTACATTACTACTTTTCTACAAGAGGTTAAAAGCTTTCAGCCTTTAATTCATGTTTTAAGTGTGATATTATGTTGTGTTAGCTAAAGTTCATGTAAACTTGAACAACAATTTATGTAAACTTTGTAAAATGATCAGCTTCAGAACTATAGTACTTGAGATTTATAAAGAGCCCTGCCTTACTTGAGATAAGGCTCTGTCCCATCTCACTACATGTGAAAATGGCTATGAAAGAAGTAAGCCAGATTTCAGTACAGTTAAAGTTGTGTCCAAAAGTAGGTTTTTGCCAAGATTACTAGGATCTCAAACAGGAAATTATGATGTATAACCCTGCCAGAATTCAAGGTAGCTATTATATAAGCTAAATATGTTTTTACCCTAGCTAGTTTTGTTTTGTAGTTTGCTTATAGATGGTTTAAGGATTGCCTGTTAATGTTTTAAAGAGATATTGCTTTAAGAACACAACCTGGGTCAACATAAGATAAGGAGTTATCACCTACAGGATAAAGAGATAGACATTAAAGCCCAGTGCTCTTAATATAAGGCTGTTAACTTATTTGCTGGATGTTTAAGATCAAGTTTTTAAAATTAGTTAAATTAAAAGGGCCAAAAAACCCCAATATTTGGCTCTTGCCCTCTGAGTCAGTCTGAATCAGGGAATAGGGGACTTCTCCAAAGGGCTCAGCAACTCTAGGCCACATAACCTCCTGAGCAGGGAGATTAATGAGACCAGTGGAGGACAGAAAGCCAATCGGTACATTTGCTGTAAAGAGGAGGGTCATTAAAAAAGGGAGACATCCCTGATGCTTCTGAGGGAAGCCATATGGTCAAGCAAGGCCTGGACCCATCCTAGCGCAAATGACACTAGCAGAACTGAAAAGCTGCTATGAAGTTCCCGAAGACTCCCAGGATAACTCAGCTGACTGTAAACAATAGGTAGAAACAAAAGTCAGTTTGACTTGCTTCATCTTAAACACTTAGCAAAGACAGTCAAAGCCAAAGCACAGCTGTTCCTGGACATCTTAAATGATAATAATAGTTAAATGTAACTTCCATAAATAAGTAGACTGGAGGCTACAAAAGAGATTCTTAGACAGAAATGCCTGATAACTGTCAAGGGGACTGCTAGAGTAGTTTTAGTCTAAGGCCTTTATTTCTAGCCAACGCAGGTAGGCTTGATGTTTGCTAATATGGTTATCCAGCCCTAAGTAGCAGAATTAAAGATTTCTCTATTAGACACAGAGGTCATACTAGTAAAAGGATTTTGCAGGATCAGATGGCATTAAATTATTAAACTATATCTTAAAGGAAAAGACATCTGTAACCCTACATGTTAGTTGTTGTGTTGACATCCCTGACATTTCTGACAATGTGACAAATATCCTTAAAGATTTACCTGCTCAGATGGAAGCCATGTCCTCAGCAACTTTTTCGTGGAAACAATATCCTAGCTCCTAGTTCCTGGTACTGCCTGATAGAAAACATTGTTAATCTTTGTCTTGGCCATTATACTCATTGGCATATTTCTGTGCTGTGGCATTTATTACTGCATCAATATGGTTCCAGTACTAATAAGATCTTGTTTCTCTTATAGACCACCCATCACTCAAATGGCCCTCCAACCTATTACTTCTCAATTAGACTTTCATCATGGACCACTCGATAGACCCGATATTTTTAAGGGGGACTCCAAACTGCTTGCCCCACGCCGTCCCTTTTCAGCCTGAAGAAGCCAGAAAGATTCTCTTCGTCCCCCTTCCTCACAGCAGTAAGGAGTTCCCAAATTAGGGAAAAAAAAAATGAAGCCAGATTTAAAGTTAGGTAGTCAGTGTAGTTAGATAAATCAGGGGTCTAATATCAAGTGACCAAGTCTATCACTGCCTTAGAGAAATCTCTCTCTTCCCTCGCAGAAGTCGTGCTACAAAATAGGAGGGGATTAAATCTGTGATTCCTTAGGAAAGATGGTCTCTGTATGGTTTTAAAGAAACAGTGTTGTTTTTATGCTGACCATAAGGGGGTGGTCCGGGAAACTATGGAGAAAGTCACTAAAAGGTTGGCAAAAAGGCAAAAAAAATTTGAAGCACAACAAGGATGGTTTGAACATTGGTTTAACAAATCCCCATGGTTAACTACTTTGCTATCCACCAGAGCGGGACCTTTAATTATTTTGCTGATAATCCTGACGTTTGGACCCTGCATACTCAATAGATTGGTGCAGTTTATGAAAGAAAGACTTTCTGTAATCCAGACTATGGTCCTTACTCAGCAATACCAGTTGCTTCAACAACAGACAGGGTCACAAACGAGCTTAATCCAAGAACCTGAGCAAGCAGGACAATGGATATAAGATTCTATCCATGATAAAGAAAAAGGGGGGAATGGAAGACCCCAGCCCAATAACTTTAGGCCCAGTAATAAATCACCAGGGCTTGCTTCCGCACCTGCACAGACGTCAGATGTATTTTTCAGAAAATCAGTTAAGTGTAAACGATTAAGAAAGGACAGGATGGTTGGGAAAGGAGCCGGCACGGTTGGGCAAACGGGATCATACAATGAAAAACCATACAATGAATAACAAATGGTTTTTATGTGGTTTTTCCAGGAACCTATAGTGAAAAACAAGTTTACCCTTTAAGTGACCTATATGCTGGATTCAAAAGAGCCAATGAGATACCTGTTACTGTGCTAGGAGGAAAACTGACCACTGTACCCTATGAAAGATCTGTACCCCAAAGCCCGGTGTGCCAGTTCACCGAAGCTCCGGCTGAGGTTTCGCTGAGCACCCGCAGGCGCCTGTGTATCAATAAATCGCCTCTTGTTTTTGCAGCCAGTGCCTCGTGCGTCTTTCTTGGACAGGGAATCGGCGGGTCTTTCATTCCCACCACAAAAGCTAAAATAAATTACTTTGAGTGTTCTTATGATAAATAAATGATAAATATTTGATGGGATAGGTATGTTTACACTGATTTGAGCATTACACAAATATATATATATATATATATATATATATCACACGGTTCCTCCAAATATGTATAATTTTAATGTATCAGTCAGGTAAAATATTTTAAAGATAATGGTAAAGTATTTTGAAATAAAATATGAGTTCTATTGGTAATAAGAGAATGTTAGACCTTATTATATAAGTTATTAATTAGAGCTATGGTTTTAATATGGGTTTATTCTCTCTGAAACTCAAGTTGAAATTTTATTTCCTTTGATGAAGAGGTGGGTGAGAACTTTTGGGGGTGATTAGGTCATTAAGAGGGATTAATGCAGTTCTCTTGTGATTGTATTAGTTGCCTTGAGAAGTTATTATAAAGGGTAGTCATCCCTCATTTTTTCCCTCTTCCCCAATGCCCCCATACCTTTCTGCTTTTTTTCCCTCCATGTTATGATGCAGCGTAAGAGCCTTATCCAATACTGAGCAGATGCTGGTAGCATGGTCTTGCACTTCCCTGCCTCCAGAAACATGAGCCAAACTAAACCTCTATTCTTTAAAATAACTAACCTAGTCTCCAGTAGTATATAGCAATGGAAAATGAACAATGACAACTATTGTGAGATACTGGTTCTCATCCTTCAGGTCCAGGCTTACATAAGGACAATGCAAATTTTCTAGTCCAATGTTCTGAACCTTGAAGGTTCCTAAGGCTGCTGGTCATATGAATGCTTCCATCATGTGGACACTAAAATGATGTGGCAGGCCCTGGTCTACTAGTCATGTCAGCACCATGAACTCTTAAAGGCTGAGATAATTTGGTCTCTGTGGTTACTTTTCTGTATCATTTAGTAGATTCAGCTTTTCTAGTGACTAGAGTATCCTGCTGGTTATCTGTATTCTTTCATCATGTGGCCACTGCTGGCTACCAGAATGTGGAAGTTTCCACCCTCACGTCATACAGGTAACCTACTGAGTTATGTGTTTCTATGGTCATATACACCGGATTACCTACCCCTCAGGGCTCCCTCCTTCACAGTGTCAGGCTCAGCCTTCTATCTAGCAAGGATTACAAGCTATGGAACTCTGCAGATCCAAGGTCTGCAGCCAGGTGGCTCTCACTATCACATAGGAGGCAAAGCCCTTGCAATCACGTGAGCATTGTAGCTACCCTATAGCTGTTGTTCAGGTAGTCATGTGCCACACTACGGTCGCGTGGTGCTCACCCTCTCAATCACTTGAAGACAGAGTGCGCCTGATCCCTGAGGGAGCTAGGGTCTTGCCATCATGCGGCCCTCTTCAGATAAGCGCCAGGCAGTCAGGTAAGATCCCACAGCTGTGGGTTATGTGGATCTTATGGTCATGTACCTGCCCCTTTGATCAGGTACCATTCCCCCAACCCCTGTACCTCCATCGACCACCGTCACCCCTCCTCCGCTCCCACCCCCACCTCACCACCCACCTTACCACCCACCTCACCACCCACCTCACCACCCATCCCCCACAGCATGCTTGGCCTTCTGAAGAGACAGCCCAGTGTGTGCAGATATTTAAAACTGCAATCAGTGGCAGAGCTCAGGCTTAAGTTTGATCGAACTCTGCCTTAAATCCCAACCTTCCCACAAACTTTTATATTCTGCCACCATGGACAGTTTTCTGTAATAGAATTTTACTCAAGGAATCAGGCTTCGAAGGGTAGCCAAGTGGCCACCACAGAGCCAAAATTTGTGAGGAGTGAGAATTGGGTGGAAGTAGGGAGATGACTTTCTGATCCGGGTCAAACTCCTGTACACGTGGCAGAGAAAGCACGCAGATGAGTGCTGCCCCCACCAGGGACTTAGTGGCACTGTTGATGGTGGAGAGTGAGGCAGAGGAGAACAATGCACGGGACTCTGGTAGCAGGGAAGGGTGGGCGGGGTTCCAGGACGTGTCAGTCATCTCAAGGGCTGGACTCTCAAGCCAGATGGAACCTTGCTCTCCTCCTCCCACCCTCGCTGAAACCCCGTCTAGGCGCATCACACTGCCTGATTCACTGTTTGTGCCTCGCATCCTCATCGACTTCCTCTGTCCCATTGTTTCTAAAACTACCAGACATTTTTCTAGATGCTAATTTTTATTGATGATTCCAAATCCAAATCTTAATTTCCTACTCATATTTGATTCTCTGAGGAAAATGGAGGGGGCTGAGAATGTGGATTGGTGGAATAGTGAATGCTTGCTTGCATGTGCAAGGCCCTGAGTACCATCCAAGTACCACCACCACCACACACACACACACACGCCCAAGGGGAGGGAAGCTTTTTTGAAAATAAGAATTGGGCATATTGATAAAAATGTGAATATAGCCATCATGTGAAAATTCAGGATTTGTTTCTTGTATTTACTTGAATTTCAGTTGTTTTCTGAAGTGCATATGGAGTAGGGTGCCATAATCTTTATTGTGCTTGAAATCTCTATAAATATCTTAAAGTAGTTCAATCAAACATTATTTCTTTGGGGTGCTCTCCCCTTCCCCCAATTTTCTGTTATTTCCTCCACTCCTTGAAAAGTACATTACAAAGTAATAGTGACTTAAGAAAATGTATTAAGTAAAATTATATGTAATATATGTCAAAATTCATGAAGATAATACTAAATAAGTAAAGTTTGGCAAATAAATGAGTGTTCTTACATTTATGGGGCACTTGATGGATGTGAATAGTAGGTATTTAATGTAGACGTAGCATGAACATGGATATTAACTCAGTTACTACATTTGTATTTTGGGACTATAGAAAATTTGTGTGTTATATGCTCTACTTTTAAAGTTATTTACAGTCAATTTATGTTTGGAACTATTAAATCTTTTATGTTTTGTATCTTGATATATGTAAAATATTCTGAATCTTGTAATTCTCTACCACCACAGTGATAGTGCTTTAATCATTTTGACAAACAATTAATTTTGGGAGAAATATAAAGTATTATTTCTATATAAAATAAATAAATATTCATTGAAAGAGTGTTTAAAATATTATAGCTTGTGATACTTTATTTTATATGAACCTTACGTAATTCCCTTTTTAAAATTCTTATCTCAGTATTTCCAAGGTTATTCTGCAAAACACTAAGTCTGAGAGAGAGCCACAACAAAAATGTGATCAACCATTAGAGAAATGTGGGACAAACAGAAATGAAGGTAAAAGGATTTCAATATTGTAGGAAAGTTTTAGATAATTTGCTAATATGAAACATGAGTCTTGAAAGGAGAGGTAGTTTGTCCAATTTATCCCTGAATGGAACAATTTTCCATAGTGTATAGGTATCTCAACTTCAGAAAATATTTTGGGAAAACCTGTTCAAACTAAATACTTTATACTACATTAATATTTTGTTCCCAGGGCTGGGGTTATAGCTCAGTATTTGAGTGCTTGTTTTGCATGCATGAGGTACTGGGTTTGACCCCCAGCACCACATAAAAAATAAATAAATAAAATAAAGATATTGTGTCCATCTATAACTAAAAATATTTTTAAAAAAGAATGATCCATCAGTGATATAAATTGTTTTAAAAAATATTTTGTAGCCATATTTACAAAGAACAATGGTATGTGTGTTTACACACATATAATTATAATATACTATCATTATGAAGTTACTTATTGGTCTTTAGCCCATTTTCTTATTTGACTAGTCAGTCTCTGTCCTGCTGTAATATTTTCACTTTTCTGTTCTTTATGGATATCCCCAAATTATAACATATTACTTTTTAAAATTTTTAGTTGGATATGGACACAATACCTTTTTTTAATATTTAATTTTTAGTTGTAGTTGGACGCAATACCTTTATTTTATTTATTTATTTTCATGTGGTGCTGAGGATTGAACCCAAGGCCTCACACATGCTAGGTGAGCACTATACCGCTACACCACAACCCCAGACTCCTTTTTTATTTATCTATTTTTATGTGGTATTGAGGATTGAACACAGTGCCTCATACATGCGAGACAAGCACTCTACCACTGAGCTACAAACCCTAGCCCCATATATTACTTTAAATTTTTTTTTCATTGTTGATGGACCTTTATTTTATTTATTTATATATGGTACTGAGAATTGAACCCAGTGTTTCACACACCACTGAGCTACAACTCCAGCCCTGTAAACATATTCCTGATAGCATGATGGCAAGAAATTTATTGAAAAGTTTAAGTTGTTTGGAAGTATTATGTGTAGAAATAAATAAAATGCATCACTTTTCTAAGAAGGATACAATTTTATTTGTCAGGATAGGCAGACACAATACCTTTAATTTTATACAATTTTCCCATATTTTCCAGAATTGTTAGGTTATTATCAGGTATACTGTCATATTTTGAGATCTTATTATATGTTAATCAATTACATCATCATGAAACTTATCCTCAGGAAAAAAAAATCCTGTGAGAGTGTTATTTTAATTTATACATGAGATATATGAGTCAGTACGGGCTTGTTAATGCTGTGGTTCCAGGCAACCTTCAAAATTTGGTGGCTTATTTTTACTGCTACTACATGTCCATGGCACGTACACATCCTTCACAGGATGGTGGATATTGAGGCCTGAATGATTCATACTGGAATGGCTCAGAGACACAAAGTGATGAAACAACCACCATTTAGAAAATGGTCTGTCACTGTGCCAGATGTAAAGAGAGTCCCAGTCTCAAACTAACAAGATGTTCTGTCCCAGAAATAGCACACATCACTCAACAATGGTTTAGCCAGAGCTAGTCACTTACATTGCACCACCCAAATGAAGGCAGTTAATAAGTTCAGTTCTATCAGGTAAGTGCCTGGAACAAGGGAGAACACTTGGCAGACAGCATCACTTGACTTCAACATAGAAGAATGGAATCCCAG